TCATGCGTCTGGAGGTTAAATAAATTATTGCACAAGTGCTAACAAATTTAGTTGTCTTTTTTTTTAGTTGCTTTTGCGATAATTTCGAAATATGAAAAAAACACACGATATATCGTGCTCATCAGGTATCAATGTCGTAAACCATTGGAAGAGGTAAATTCCGAGGACAAGGCGCGAACGATGAGCAAGACCCCGGTGGTCCTCACGCGCTATCTGTTGGAGTGGCTGTCGCAGAGCATCGGTCAATGCATAAGGAACTCGTCCAATCTCACGCACCTAGAGCTCGAGGGCATTCCCTTCCCGCCGGATTGCATCGCGGTACTATGCGTCGGTCTGTCGGGAACGCAGACTCTGTACCATCTGTCCCTTCGACGTTGCTACATCGGCGACACCGGCTGCGAACTGATCTGCCGCACGATAGCGAACGCTCGCAGCGTGAGGTCGTTGAATCTCAGCTATTGCGACCTCACGCCGAGCAGCGGTAGCGCCTTAGCGTCCGCGCTCTCGAGGCAGAAACTGGCGCTGTACCACGACACCTGGAAGCAATCGCTGAGGTATCGCGAGCCCAACTTCGAGACGATGCCGGGACTTCGTCGGCTGACTCTGAACGACAATCCGCATCTGGGTAATTGCGCCGTGAGGGAGGTGATCGAGGCGATACGCGACAGTCTGTGGATGAAGGCGCTCGACCTTCAGCATTGCGGCTTGACGGATCAGATCGGCGCGGATCTGCTGAATCTGCTCGATCACAATAGCACCCTGGTGGTGCTCGACGTGAGGAGGAACGCGAATCTGAACGACGAACTCGCGACGGACGTGATGAGAAGATTGGTGGAGAACAACATTGAGGGAAAGTCGGAATACAAGTGGATAGGGTTAGTGCCGAAGGATAAGAGAATCGCGTCGGCTGATACTCGAAGAGTTAGCGAGAACGAGGACGTCGCGAAGCCCTCGAGGGCGCGGAGCGCCTTTACCAGGTACACGAAACGACCGTGTCAGGTGACCGCACCGAGGAGAACAGTTCCGGCGGGTTCACTTCTATCGACGAAAATGAAGACCGTCCGTTCGCCGTCACCGCCGGTTCGCGACGTCACTCAACCATGCGACTTGATCCGCTCGCAGACGATCGGCAACGTGCAAGCAACGTCTAAGATTTCTCTTCACTTGGATCTTCAATCTCGCATACAGTCTGCGGTGAAACGTGTCGATCGTGATGTCGCGGCGCGCGGAAACGTTGGGCCGTGCCTCGACGAAACAAGTTTAAGGAGCTTCGATTCGACAAAGATGGACGTTGGTACCCAGAGCGAGGAGCAGCGCGGTGATTCGGAAGAAATTCGGAATATCCTCAGACAACTGGCGGAAGCTCAAGCGGAATACGATCGTCTTCTGGAAGAGACCAAACGCATCGACCTTCTACTTGTTGAGGAACGAGCGCGTCGTGAAACCGCCGAGATGAATCTGAGATCGGCGCAGGACGACGTGACCAAATTGGAGTGCGCTCTGGAAAAGAGGGAGAACGAGACCAGAGGTTACCTGCTGGTCAGCCAGCAGACCTTGGATGAGATATGCTCATCTTTCGATCGGCTTCTGGAACTAATGGAGAACGTCGCCGGCAAACATCCGGCCGATAGAACGCTGGGTTCGCAGGAGATCGTAAGCGCGAGCATCAAGCGATGCTTGGCGTCCGTCATCAGGCAAACCAAGTCGGAAAATTTGAGGCGGGGCCGCAAGATGGATGCCGAATCGCCGCGGAATGTCGTAGACAGCGCGCGAAAGCTCGTCAAGTCCGACAGCGACGTGAGATCGACTATGCCGATCTCGCCGACGCATCTCGAGAGGAAGATCGGCGAGTGCCCGGAAAACGATGAGCCGCGTCATCGGCGTCATCGCGACGCCGAGAAGCCGATGTCCTCCGTCGATCGAGCCCGGGCGATCTTCGCGAGCATCCTTAGCGGCGAGGCTGTGCTTGACTTCTGCTAGTCGATCGCGAGATCGGCTGAGATCGGCAATCG